AGATGCTAACATGGTATTTTTGGCTAAGCTTATAAGATGTTAAAAGGAGCTTATAAGATGTTTTAGAGCTTATAAGCTCTTTCAAAGTGTTTGGTAATTTTTTAGAAAAAGATCTTATTTTTTTTTAAAATAAGCTGTTGGAGAGCAAATAAGATCTTTTTAAATAGGGGTAATATGCTTGTCACCCCTCAAACCAAACCTAATTAGACGTAGGAGACAAGCTCAAATAGAAAATTTTAATTAAATCCTTAGTTCTAAACAAAAATTAATACACATCCTATTAAATTTTTTAAACCCAAAACTACCCTTAATACATAACTAATAAAAAAATCACTTCTATTATTTCTCACTTTCTTCCCCTTTCTCTATTGCTTTCTCCGTCGCCCAACTTCTCCTCTTCTCCCTCTCTCACAATTTCTCTCTCTTTCTCTATCATTTTTCCCTGCCCCAATCTTTCTCATTCACTCCTTTTCTTTTCTTTCTTTTGCTTTCTTTTTCTTTCTCTATAATTAGTAGATCTGATTTTTTAAAAGTTTATAGCGGAGCAATAAATCTGCAAATCGACGGTGGCCTGGTGGCTAATTCAGATGCCTTTGCACGGCGGCGGCGATGTCCCAGGCTCGCCTTGGACGGTTGAAGTGGCGATTGCATCAGAAAAGGGTTGGCGAGATGTGTGTCGATTTAGATATTTTCGTTGCTTTTTAATCGGTGGCTAGGGCTGGTTGTGAGGATTAATTCGTGGTATGTGTGGGTTTGGTTGCGCACACAGTGAGAACGACTCGATGGTGACTGGTCTACGACCGCTAGGGTTTGTCGGCGGCGCCGATGTCCCAGGCTCGTCTTGGATGGTGGAAGTGGGGATTGCATCAGGGAAGGATTGGCGAGATGTGTGTCGGCGTAGATCTTTTCGTTGTATTTTGAGCGGTGACTAGGGCTAGTTGTGAGGATTAATTCATGGTATGTGTGGGCTTAGTTGCGTACACGGCAAGAACGGCTCGACGATGACTGTTCTACGACCGCTAGGGTTTGGCGGCGGCGGCTACATTGGACTGCTAGGGCTGACGAATTTGTTGGGGGCTATGGTTTGATAGTACACCATAGTAAACCATAGTAAAACATAGTATATTGTATATTGTAGTACACTATAGCATCCCGTAGTATACCATAGTCTACTGCAGAAAAATTGAAAATATGTATATTGGATTAAAAAATTAAAAAATTAGCATGCTTTTGTTGTTGTAATTTTCAATATTATGTGAAAAAGAAAAAAAAAAAGATTTGTTTCATAATAGCGTATAAATATTAAAATGAAGAAATAAAAGAAAATGACAAAAATATGTTTTGTAAAAGAAATTAGAAAAACGTTAGATGTAAATATGAAACTATTAAATGTAGAACAAATAATATGATAAATGCAATTTGAATTTACTAAATGCAAATTTCTAATTTGTGAGTGGAAGGGCATTTTTGGAATGAATTTTATAAAGGATGTGAAGCAAATGTTTTATTGGACTTGTCATTTAGTTCTAATAAGTTTTGTCACCAGGGACCTATATCTTAAGGCCCCTTTTAAATAAGTACATCTACCCCACCTTTTTATTTAAGATCTTTTAATGAGTAAAAATAGGAAATAAGCCCATTATCCAAACACTCTAAAAATTAATCCTAAAAATAAGATGTAACAGCTTATCAGCTCTTAAAACATCTTATCAGACGTAAGAGCTTATCAGCTGTTTAAAATAAGCTTAGCCAAACACCCTCTAAGTCAACTCAATATTTGTTAGATAAAAGATATAAGAGAAGAATATACGGAATCCAAGTATTGTATCAATCGAGTTCCTCTAATGGCGAATGTCATGTTCCTCCGGTGGTGGTGGTGGTAGTGGTGGCTCAGCCGTCCATGGATGAACTTCCGACAAAGCTCGAACTACCAATTTCTTGAAATTCGGGAGTCGGAATCATTGTACTGGTAGAAGCTGAATAATTCTGCTGGTTGTGACTGCTCGTAATAAGGGGTTTGACAAGGACGGACAAACGACTTCCCAACGTTTCCAGGTTTAGATATTCGTCCTGAAAACATCAACGATACAATTAAAGAGAAATAGAACTTTGTAAAGTACTATCAGAAGAATTTCGTTAATATAAGTAGGGTAAATTACAACCACCCCTGTGATATGGTCAAATTACGAAAACCCCCTATTGTTTGGATAATTACATCTACTCCCTCAACTATGAATCTTCTTACACCTCCACCCTCATGGTGTCAAATTCAACATAATCATCTAGATTCCGTAGAAAGTAGATTCCGTAGAGAGTGCACTAGTTTGTACTCGTTTTGTGTAAAAATATAGTTTCTGATGCACCGAAATCCGATATATACAAGCCAAAAAACACATCTTATGATCATCTTGCTTCAAAATGTGGAGTTGGAATGGGATAAAATGGGTACAAAAGTGATAATATTACATATAATCTAGAAGATTCCACTACATTTGAAACCGCAAGGGTGGACGTGTAAGAAGATTTATAGTTGAGGGGGTGGTTGTAATTACTCAAACAAGAGGGGGGTTTTCGTAATTTGACCATACCTCAGGGGGTGGTTATAACTTTTTAAAAGCTACAATGTGAATTCCGCCTAATACAGAATTGCATGAAGAAACTGAATGTAGAAGTAACACACCTTCGTCGTAGCAGTCTTGTACAAACCCTCTTCTAAGCGCCTCACCAAATCCTCCATCTTCTTTTTTGGTACCTCCCGAGTTTGTTGACGACGATTCAGAAGAAATTCCAATCTGCAGAACATAAACTCTAAAAACTTTAGAAGCGTACGGTTAGCATGCAATTTCAAAAAACGACCGCATTTACAAAGTGACCGTTGGCAGTTTGTGCGTTAAACAATGAACGTAAATAGGCGATAGAGAAATTAACAAACGAAAAAAATTCAAGCACGGCAGCAGAAAAGGGAAGATACGCCATTTCCTCTATGGAAATAGTTTTAAGTAATGTAGAAATAACCGAAAAACATGCAAATAAAAACATCAGAATTTACGAACATATATGTTTGACCAGTGGATGTTTCTAGAACAACTTCAACTATGAAGACTTCTACGATCCAAATTCATTATCATCACATTATCAAATGTTACTATACTTGGTCACATCAATGAACAAATTGACGGGACGAATTTTACGTTGGACAAACAAAAACCAATTGTCCAAAAACTAGAGACGTGTGTCCCTAACCGCTAAAATTCCAGTTATCAATACTTGATCCCTGTACATTCACTTGTACGAAATCGAACATTAATATACTAATGGCGAGTTATTTTACAATCGCGTAGAAATTCGAGAGGATATAATCCCGTGCAACTTATAGAAAACATAGGTACATGCAATATAAACATAGATAGCCAGAGAAAGTAGTATTTTCGTTAATTCGTTTTTCGTTCAATCTATATTCTAGAGGCTTACGTCCAATTACATTGTCTACTGATAATCAATTATCGGAAGCATATTCTCCGATAGACAAATTCAAAAATACTTACACCTTCAATTGCATATATTTGCGTGTTCCCCCATTTTCAGGATTATGCATCTGTGTGGTTACAGGATCTCCAGCCTGCAGCGGTAGCCCAGGCACCATATTACCAGCTTGATTATGCCTGTAAAATGAATACACTACATCTGATAAATCTAAAATTGGGATGAAAATCAATAAACTCGAGAAATTCTAGGGTTCAATCGAATTGGGGAAATAATCAGATTAGGGCGTAATTTCTCATCAAAATGACAAAGGGCATTACAATTTCAGCAAAGCATATATCGCACTCACCGGAAAACAAAGAGCACGACGAACTATTTAAAGCGCGAGGAGCAGGAGCTCCGATCAAATCGATACACGAGCAAATAAGCAGTAGAACACGAAACGAGCCGGCGGCGACCGCCGTGAACCTAACCAGCGCCTGCGGAAGATTACGGTGGTGGAAAACGGTGATTGGAGGGTGGAGTGGCTGATTTAGAATTTTTTTGGCCAATTTGGTATTTATAATAACGCGCTAGAGTGTTAAATTTGCAATTATTAAAATATTAAAAGTGCTAATTTGGCAATAATGAAAAATAAAACGCGCTGCTTTGGCAATAATGAAAAATAAAATGTGCTGCTTTGGCAATAATGAAAAATAAAACTTCCTGCTTTGGCAATAATGAAAAATAAATTGGCAACTTACAAGCTTTTTGCTTAGTTTTAACTTGAGCAATGTATGTAAAAGAGTAATCGTTACAAACAATCTTTTAATCTTCGGCTACATCGAACACGTGGAAGTGACTTTCGACATTCTCTACTTCCATAATCTCAATGACTCTTGATTTGTCCAATCGACTTTTGAAAAGCGTTAAGGACGAAAAATCAATAATTAGAAGAAAAAATACATAGGTTATGATTCATAAATCAAGCAATTATTACAATTTTATGATATATCATGTAATTACATAATATAATTTATGATATGAAAAATAAAATACCCAATGGTCAAGTAAATTAAAATCCTAGAAAAATATTAGCTGGTATAAGAAACTCTCTGATGCATTTTGTTGTTCATGCATGTGATTTTATTGCATTTGTCGAACTCCCTTCTGGTTTTTCTTTCATTTTGCAGGAAAATTCAAAAAAAAAATAAAAGGAAAAACTTCTAAAATTTCCATTATATCCATATTTTGGAAAAAAATATTAATGCAATTTTTGAAATTCCGCCAATTCCGAGGCACTATGAAATCATCATGGATTTTTTAATTTCGATTTTTTCTAGAACGAATCAAGAGTCAATATAAAATTTCATTTTTTTCTTTTTTGAAAAATCCAAAAAAGTTATTTCCGATCCGTTCTGTCCGATTTTCACCCCTAAATTGCCTCGTCCACTTAACAAATTCATTTTTAAAAATATTATTTTGTGCTCTCCATATGCTCCAAAGTGTTTTGTTGTTTTGCAATTTGCTAAATACCAACAAAATCGATTCCGAGTCATTCCGAAATCCGAACTAATTAACTATTAACGATTCAATTAGTCCGGCCCGTTTTTACTTATCGGGCCAAACTAATTATCCATGTACTAACGCTTTTGGGCCCATGTACTTGTTTCCTCGGGTCGGGCCATTTCTAACCGGATCACGTATAAAACGAGAATTATGGGGATTTGGAAACGAAAACCGAAACCAATATTTGTATCTACTTAAAAAGAAAATGGAACGTAAAAAATACATATAACTCGTACAATAATTCTTGTTAGTAAAATTATTGTTATGATTATTGAACAATGTAGGTAAATAAGAGTTTGATCAATCAAATAATTAACAATATGAATCCAAATATTGTATTAATTGATTTCCTTTAGTGGCGAATGTCATGTTGCACCACCCTCCACCTCCGGCGGCGGTGCGAGTGGTGGCTCAGCCGTCCATCGGACTCCCCCATTGTAGTTTCTCGCACGCTGGATTGTCGGCTCTTGCCTTGGAATAACAACATCGGGCATCATTACACCGTAACTTATGATTTTGTTTCCGTCGACGGGTGTCGAAAGAAATGCAATTGCCACCACCACCACCGCGGCGGCACAAACCACCACCACCGTCTTTGCCATATATATGTTTGAACCTTCAAATGTTTTTCTTTTATTAGTTAGGAAATAAATTATTTGTTTTATTTTTTGGGTTGTTTTGTGTAGGGATTAATTTAGTGTAGATATGTTCCATTCATTTGATTGGTTATTTTATGGACTAAAATAACTAGTTAAAGAAAACCGTTCAATGATTTCTTGTGGATTGAGAATTCGAGATTCGAGACCCAAGTTTCAAAAATCTATCATATCTCACTTTGCACCCTTGAAATACAGTATTTTGATACTTTGCACCCCTTAAAAAGATATATTAGCATTGTGCACCCTCGAAACAGAATAAATCATGCACAATGCACCCCGATTGAATTTTTTGAGCTAATGAAGATAATTTAATATTTTTAGTGGTTATATTGCCCGTAATATTATGTTCAAAAAATTCAATTTAGAATGCATGATGAATGTTTATCATGTTTTGAGGGTACAAAGTGCTATTAATTATTTTTAGGGTCAAACGTATATACTTCTTAATTAATCTTGTTTAAGTTGATAATTACATAAAATTACAAGTATCCCACTTCCACCTTTTAAGAGCAAAACTAAGGAGACATTAAAAGTTTATATGTATTTTTCGAATAAATTATACCTATCTCGACAGGGTTATATAATTACACTCGGACTCCATCAGATTTGAGAAATTACACGTACTACACTTAAAGTTTGGTTTTTCTTATATTCAACCCTTTTCAATTTTTAGTTTATTGGATATTCCCTTTTTACCCTTAATCAAATGTTTGGGTAAATTACGACCACCCCTGAAGTAAGGTCAAATTAAGAAGATTTTTTTTTCATGTTTGGGTAATTGCAACCACTCTTCAACTATGAATCTTCTTTCACTTCCGCCTTGTGGTGTCAAATTCAACAAAATCTTCTACATTCCGTGAAACATTCTCTAGTTAGTTCTCGTTTTGTACAAAAATGCAGTTTCTGTTGCACCACAATCTGATATTTACAAGCCAAAAGACACTCTTATATAATCATCTTGTTTCAAAATGTGAAACTCGAATGGGAGAAAACCTGTACAAACTGGAATATTCCACATAATCTAGAAAAGAAGTCCAGTAAATTAGACTTTGCAAAGGTGGATGTGTAAGAAGATTCACAATTGAGGGGATTGTTGTAAATACCCAATCACGAGGGATTTTTCGTAATTTAATCTCACATCAGCGTGCGGCCGTAATTTACCTATCAAATATTAGACAAATTAAACTACAATAACCTCTCATGTGATTAAATCTAACCACAAGAAGTGAAATATAATAGTTATTTAAAAATGACAAGTTTGTCCAAAAATAGGAAGTGGGAACAAGTCTAGCCACACAATTGTTCAAACCAACCAAATTAATTTATTCTCCTACAACTCCTCAACAACACAAATCCAATCACCATAACCACATACATAAATGCCTCTCCCCAACATCTCAAACCAAAGTACCTCTTTAAGACAAACAAACCAAAGTACACACAAATTGCTTAGCAACTAATTACCAAGTTAAACCAATTAGAGACGAGATCAACGATGGTTGCGTCGAAAACGAGACTCGTCGTTCTTTTTATGGCGACAATCTTGGTTTGTTCGGTCATCGTAAGAGAAGTCGGTGCGGAGAGCTGCGACCCTTTACTATCGAAAGAAATCTGCACCGATGGGCCCACCCCGAAAACCGACGGTGGTGTGTCCATTCACACGGTGCATCGTGATTCTGAAGATGACAATGACGATGACACGTTCAAGAAACTCGAGGACAATGACCAAGACAACGATGACGATGATGACGATAATCCGGAAGTCGTTGTGTTGGGGCATTGAGATATTGATACGCATGCACGCAAACCCTTCTTTCGTTTAATTTATTCATCGAAGTTTTTTTAATTAATTTTTATCATTATGTTTTATTCTTTTTAATAATTGGCTTCATGAGGCACATTGGTTGTTCTTATTTTTTATAATTTGGGTTGTATGTGATGTTCTATTTTTAAATTGTCGAATATGCTTTTTTTATTTTGATAATTATAATATCTCAAGAAGTTATGCTAATTGTTCGAAAATGTTCCATAACCTATATATATA